ATTTCACAGTTTTCGACAAATCCAGTTTTCAGTTAAAAAATGAGTATGAAACCTAGCGCGTTGCGATAAACTATGTCTAACTTTCAAACCTCAATCTTCAGCTCTTCTTGTGTGGGTGCTTCTGCATACTTAAGGAACGGCATTTCCTCTTCCTTCTTCTCCAGGGCAAGCTGTAAAAATTCAGAATAACTTCTCGAAATCTAGGTTGGGAAAGTTTTACCTCTTCTTTCTTTTCCTTTTCGCTCTCAATCAAAGGCTGAAGGTCCTCCTCATGTCTTACAAATATTCCTAACTTTAGATTGACTGAGATCATCTGAAAGTCCAATTTTACGCCATAAATATTTCCAGTGCATAATTCAGAGCTTACCAGAAGAGTGTTCAGGTACATGGCAAGAACAATCATATATCCGCAACCACAACTTCTGAGGGTTAAAGCGACATCCATCTGCGGTGGAGGATCGCTCTGAGATTGCACACTGTGTCGATGTTCTCGAACGACAATTGACCAACTGACGTATAGTTCCTTCACCATGACGATTTGTACGAAGTATCACTGCCTAGCGAAAGGAGAAAATGAAACTTACCGTTATTTCAACTCATGTTTCTTCCATTTTTCACAACAACTTGCCATGCATCAACACGTGAAGACTGATTACGGAGGAAGGCAATCTGTGTACCCTTTGATTCAACGGATTGGAAGGCTGGAAGGTAACCGCTCGCGCTCGCGACACAGCCTGCGTCTCTCTCACGAGCGTGCTCTTCAACCATTCTCTAGCCTTAATCCTCGAAGCCGCGTCTTCAAGCCGCCAATCCCGTTGAATCAAAGGGTACGTCGTGTAGCAGGCGTAGCGGCATTTTTGGTTACCCGAGCGTGCACTCGCCCGCGCTCCACCTAAGCCGGCCTTCATGTAAGGATAGCTTCTGATCAAATCCTCGCCACAGGACCAGGTTCAGTAGTTTTTAAGAAGCAAAATATGAAGAAGTCTAACTTTTTTGCCTGTGCATGCTTAAGCAAAAGCTAGAGCGGAGTATGTCACGAATGCGGTCCCCTACGGAAATCTATTGATGGCTTTACGATCGTGTAAATGCTCTCAGCAATACACTTGTCTAATATCTGCCCTAGGACGAAGGCGGTCGCCCTTTAA